TGTTTGTAGTGCTGTTATTGTCCGCTGATTTTTGGACGGTGAAAAATATAACCGGCCGTTTGTTGGTCGGTTTACGATGGTGGAATTACATTGATGACGATGGACAATCGCATTGGGTGTATGAATCGAAAAAGGTATCTGCGCTAAAAAGGACTACTCTTAATCTAACATTAGCTTTACTAATCACAGCTTTTCTCTATCTTTGCGCACATTTGGTTGCATGCCTACCACATTCGGATCATTTTTCATGTATTTTATTTGCATGTCAAATTTTTTTCCCATTTAGCAGGGCCGCGTTAACGCACAAGAACAACGAATCTTTTGGTTGGCACTTGTTCTATTTCCAATGATCTGGGGTCTCTTCTTCATGGTTGCACTCTTCGGTTTCAAATTCAGATGGCTGGTATGTGTCGATTTATATTCCCATCTTCCGGGCTTGTGATTGTATTTAGCAAAAAAAAACTAATTTCAGGTTTTGGTATTCATTGCCATAATTTTAAACGGTGCAAACTTATACGGATACATCAAGTGCAACTACGGATCGAGTACAAACTTAAATTCAGCTGCTAGTGATTTTGTGCGTAGGCAAGTGTTCCGGAATGCATTTGATTTCATTTCACGACCCTCGCAACCACCTACAACCAATGCAAGCGGCATCGTTTGAAATGGCAATTGATTGCGATCAAGCGATTTGGAACCTGATCAGATGATTTTGAAAATAACATTTGAAAAAAAAAACCATTCCAAGGATAGAAAATTAAGCAAACACTGTGTATGAATATTTGGCAACCTTTTAATTTAAGATCTTGAATTAAAAAAAATGAACAAGAAACTTCCAAAATGAATATGGACTTTTTTCTCTTCGAAAATGGTGGTGTTTGCGATATGGAAATGGACCGAACTTATTTACAGCCGTCACTCCGTAACTGAAATGTATAATGCTTTTTGAAATGAAAAACACAATATTATTGTTTTGAATTTCATTCCCATTTCAAATGAATGTCATGACAAGCACTATTCATTTGAAAAATGTAATTTTTCATTGGAATTTGCTCCATAAATTTTTTTGATTTTTTCCTTATGATAAGCGGTCAAAATATCACGAGTAAATGGTTGCTATGAGTCATTCTTTTTTGTTTTAGTAGTATGCGTTATCACAAAATGTGAATAATTTTGCGTTGCACGTACTATCTAACGTAAATATTGCCACGTTTGGTTCATAGAAACTCGATGAACCTTCATTTTTATTCCATTTCACAGTTCTACCGTTGGTTTTCTTTTCTCTAGCACAACAGCCACGTTACACAACGCCGTTTTACCTTTACACCAGTTTCAAAATACAAACCGGTATTGAACAAATAC